CGGCTGCGACCGTTACGAGCCGCTGCCCCCAGCGCTGCCGGCCGCCGGGGAGCAGGACTGCTGCGGGGAGCGTGTGGTCATCAACATCTCTGGGCTGCGCTTCGAGACGCAGCTCAAGACCCTCTGCCAGTTCCCAGAGACGCTGCTGGGCGACCCCAAGCGGCGCATGAGGTACTTCGACCCGCTCCGCAACGAGTACTTCTTCGACCGCAACCGACCCAGCTTCGACGCCATCCTCTACTACTACCAGTCCGGGGGCCGCATCCGCCGGCCTGTCAACGTGCCCATTGACATCTTCTCCGAGGAGATCCGCTTCTACCAGCTGGGCGAGGAGGCCATGGAGAAGTTCCGTGAGGACGAGGGCTTCCTGCGGGAGGAGGAGCGGCCCCTACCCCGCCGCGACTTCCAGCGCCAGGTGTGGCTTCTCTTCGAGTACCCCGAGAGCTCCGGGCCGGCCCGGGGCATCGCCATAGTGTCGGTGCTGGTCATCCTCATCTCCATTGTCATCTTCTGCCTGGAGACGCTGCCCGAGTTCCGCGACGAGAAAGACTACCCTGCTTCCCCGTCGCAGGAGGTGTTCCAGGCTGCCAGCAACAGCACGTCGGGAGCCGCCTCTGGAGCCTCCAGCTTCTCGGATCCCTTCTTCGTGGTGGAGACCCTGTGCATCATCTGGTTCTCCTTCGAGCTGCTGGTGCGATTCTTTGCTTGCCCCAGTAAAGCCACCTTCTCCCGAAATATCATGAACCTAATAGACATCGTGGCCATCATCCCTTACTTCATCACTCTGGGTACCGAACTGGCTGAGCGACAGGGTAACGGACAGCAGGCCATGTCCTTGGCCATCCTGAGGGTCATCCGCCTAGTGAGGGTCTTCCGCATCTTCAAGCTTTCCCGCCATTCCAAGGGGCTGCAGATCTTGGGACAGACGCTGAAGGCTTCCATGCGGGAGTTGGGGCTGCTCATCTTTTTTCTCTTTATTGGGGTCATACTTTTTTCCAGTGCAGTGTACTTTGCCGAAGCAGATGACCCTTCTTCAGGTTTTAACAGTATCCCGGATGCCTTCTGGTGGGCAGTGGTAACCATGACAACTGTCGGTTACGGTGATATGCACCCAGTGACCATAGGAGGCAAGATTGTGGGCTCTCTCTGTGCCATCGCAGGTGTCTTGACCATTGCCTTGCCAGTTCCTGTGATTGTTTCCAACTTCAATTATTTCTACCACCGGGAGACAGAAGGGGAAGAACAAGCCCAGTACATGCACGTGGGAAGTTGCCAGCACCTCTCCCCTTCAGCCGAGGAGCTCCGAAAAGCACGGAGTAACTCCACTCTGAGTAAGTCCGAGTATATGGTGATTGAAGAGGGGGGGATGAACCACAGCGCATTCCCCCAGACCCCTTTCAAAACGGGCAACTCCACTGCCACTTGCACCACGAACAATAATCCCAACTCCTGTGTCAACATCAAGAAAATATTCACTGATGTTTAATGTATGATAACGATTGACATGCTGTGCTCAGTATTGTATGGGACGTGCCCCCTTGGTCTGTGTATGCCCTGTTTTGTACATTTCCAGACCATCCATCGAGGAAAGGACATGCCTAAGTGGAAAGCACACTTCATTCTCCCGCTCCCTGCTGCCTCATCCTGAAACAGGTGCCTGTTCTGCAAGTGGGCTGCGTTCGCTCAGCTCTTTTTTTCTCTCCCTCTTAATTTTGTGACCCACAAACTTACATGAAGCCTGATTTCTAATGCACACCGTATGAAAAACTACATCCTGGGAGGAAATGAAACTAAAGAACAGTTAAGAGTAACTTTAACCTCAAAACTGAAAGATAGTTGTTTCTTTACTAAGTAAAGGAGGCAAGACTTAAATGATGCTTCTGTTTGGTGAACCTTTCAACATTGTCCGTTGACTATTTAGTTCAATAACCTAACCTCTGGACATATGGATGGAAAGTGTTAACTAGAGAATGTCTTATAAGCCCACCGTAAACTTATTTGGTTTTTGACTGGTCTTTCTATTTGAATCTTTCCTCTCTGAATCTTACAGTTCTCATCAACTTTGAACCAAAAGGGAAATGCCCCAAATGTTCTGATCTGACCAATTAACTCTTTAGAGTTTGCTAAGCATTTGGAAAGTATTAGACACAGATTCCAATGAAGCTGTGTGTGCATGTCCCAGCCAACATCTACCAAAGTCTAGAAGCAGATGTTTTCAGTGCTGCCAAGAGAAACAGCAAAACATTCCTGATGCATTCGAGAGATAAGCTTCTGCAGTATGGCAAGATTAAAGTGGCAGACACCCCTTCCAGCGGAAGTTACTAATTCGAACCTGACTGATGCAGTTCCCATAGCAACTCATGTTTCCTGGGAAACCCGAAAAAGGTTGTCATGGCATCTTTTGCTCTCTAGCCCCACCTCCCTCACTCCCTGCCGTTTCCACAGTAACCTTTCCAGATGGTTCCTACTTACACGATTTCACAAGGAAAACCACTATTTGAATAAACCACACAAATAAAGTTAAGTCTGAGAACGTAAAGAGGTGAAAAAAATCACAAAATGCATTGTTTTTACATTTTATATAAATCATCGATGTATCCGTACAGTGACTGAACCAAGAAGAAAAATATCTTTGGAATGTTACCTGTAAACCACAATAAGGCATGATCTGAATTAAGTGCCAGTTATTATCAGGCAATAATATTAAAAGATGCTTCTCTGCAGGTTTTTTAAGAAGTGACAAGATAACAAATGAAGAGCTGGTGAGAGAATTTCGTACATAGCAAATGAGAGTCAGTGTACCTGAAGTCTTACTGCAAGATACTTCCCAATTTCCTCATTAAAAAAGAAAAAAAAAATCCAGATCCCACAACAGAACTGTCACCATCACAGTACTTGCAAAACAAAAATAAATCTCCAGTATATAAAGGATGTTCATTGTAATGAGGGAATTACAATCAATACAAAAGAGGATCAGAAAGTAACCAGATCTTGAACACCTGTGAGTTTCAGCCACATGCAGAGGGTGGCCAGCAGACAGACACAATCAGGTGAGCCCTGTGCTGTGTGGTCTGTGCAGTCTACTTTTGTGCAAGGAACCAGGGAAATGTCATTCATAACTAAATTGCAAAACCAATTGTTTTCTATTAATTCCATGCCAATTGCATTTGAAAAGATCATTTATGACATCTTCACATTTTTTGTCCATGTTGCAAGTTAGCTCTTGACTTCCATTGTTCATTGCAAAAGGCTGAAAAAAATCTTTTCAAAATATGTTTCACCCAAGCGTAACTGAAAATTATTCCATTACTTTGACAAGCCCACTTGGCTTCTGAACAACCTGTTTCCCCTTTAAGAATAAAAGGCAGAATCTGCAGCTGCTAGGTTACTGATCCAATTTTAATTTTCATAATTACTTAATAGTATCAGTAGCATAGTTCTTGGAAAAAAATACTTAAAATTGAAATACATTTAGCATTTTATTTTAACATATTTAACTTTCTGTGTATTATGTTGATTCTACACAATTGCTTTTGGGTTTTGATGGCACATAACTAGCCTTACCCTTCTAGAGTACATGAAAGTAACCTTATTTTTAAAGCTCACAAAATATTTTCAGGCAATCAATCACAAGCCCACCTAGTTTATTATTTATGCATTTGAAAGAATGGGAAATACTAATGGAGACCATGACAGCGGGAGGAGAAAGGAAAACTATCAGAAAATAGGGGCAATAAATCTGTATAGACCCGATTGCTTTTGTTCCTATTTTTCTGTATCTAAGCAGGATTCTTATCTAGTTTCATCTGCTTCCGGAGTTTCTTCTAACATTGATTTACATTTTGATCTATTCTTAATGACCAGAATTCCTTTTATGACTCATTTTGAGAATGTTAGATACACTATAATAATTATGTAATATAATCTTTGTATAGGTCTTTAAAAGACCTTCACATAAAGGTGACAGTTTTATTCACATTAAGAAATGTAGACACTTTGATTCATTCCATAAGTAATTTAGGCTAGACCATGAATTTTATGGTTCTTAAATAAGAGTAATTTGAAGAGGACCTTTGGTTTTCTTAACCCAGAGAAATAGCACAGGTTTTTGAGTCATAACTTTCAGGTGATGTAATTGCTTCTAGTCGCCATATTGGAAACTCCTTAAAGGTTATACGTTCTGTGTTTTGATTTTTGAACATTTGGTGTTTGAAGGGTTGGTTGGTGCCTAGCACAGAGTGCAGTACCTTGTGTTTACTGAGTGAATTCTTTCATCTTACATTAGTATTATCTCCAGACTTTTAATGAAGTGGTCGAAGTAGCACCTCTGCAATCCTGCCAGGGCTTGGTTCCTAGCTCTGCTGTGTGACCTTGAAAACATTACATAACCTCTCTGTGCCTTAGTTTCTTTTTTGCAACATGAAGATAATAAATAGGCACAATATACATTTGTTGTGACTAGTAAATGTTAATAAATGATTTTTAGAAAAAAAATCATTGTATGACATAACATCAGATTACAGTGTAAGAGATGACATGGCTTTGTGGTTGTTACTTATAAGCATTGTGTGATTAATACAAAGCTTTGTGAGTAAGAAGTAATGTCTTCCTAGTTCCTTTCTATAAGAACAGTAATTACCATTTATAAAGGGTGAGCAATATCCTGGACACTTGTCACTTCTGTAAGGTAAGTGCTATTAATTTCATTTTAGTGGGATGAAAACTAGATGCCTGAAGTCACAGTGATTTCCCCAAGACTTCAAAGCTAGCAAGAGACCCAGCAACAATTAAAACCCAGGTCATTCTGGCTCTAAAGCCTGTGCTGCTTTTATTGGGCAGCTTGAAAGTTATGGTATTAAGCTTGACTTCAGTTTCTGATACTAATTAATGTATTTATATAAAGACCATATCTCCAGAAAACTCTTTTAATTTTACTCAGTACACTGATAATTAATCCTTTCTTAATCAGGTATGTTTAACCAGGAGAATCAGATATAGGTTAAGTTGGATAAAGAGACTGACCTTTCTAGTAATAAAAGATTGTTTTCTTACATGTTTATATGTATCTGGATTGATGTTAGAAAGCATAATCAGTCATATGAGAGATACTTCTCAGGTTTATATTAATTTCCTGGGTTTATGTGTTTTATTTTGTAATACATGATAGTATTATGAAAAGTATTCTTCATCTCCTGTGCTTTGCTTAGGTTTCTAAAGAGCCATGACAGAAATCAGTGTAAACATTTTGACTTTCACTAGAAATGAAGAATTGCTTACAATAGGGTTGAAAGCAAGAGATTCGCAGTTCACCGAAATGTGTGGCATTATTGCCTCACCCTGCTCCTCTATGGTTCTTTCAGAAAATCTGCCCTAAAAACATTAGGACATAATCTTGTCACCCATACTAGACATAGCCCCTTCGCTAAGGTCCTAAATCATTTATGAAATGAAAATGGATAATGATCTGGGCTTAGAGCAAGATGCTAATGAATCTGTATTTGCCCATGCTGGTTAGTTTTGCCAACCACAGGCTTCACTGTTAAGCTTAGCTGAACATCTTGAGTGTTGAAAAGAGATTCTTGTGAGGCGTGTGACAGGATCACTGCAACCCATTAGCACTCTTCTGAGAATGTATATGCCCCGCAGCCAGTGATCCAGGGAGAAACATAGAAGTTAACACTTGTTATTATTTGATTTCTTTTATAGTGTTTTAAACTGACACAATGTCAAATTTAAATATCTACCAACTATGGTGGCTTAACCACAGACACCTACACAGAAAAGAAAGTGTTATTTCCAAGGTTCTAAATAGAATTTCAGGATAGACATTTTTAAATCATAGTAAGAAGAAATTTAAAGTTATAATCTACATAAAACATTTCTTTTTTATATAACACACCCAATTAACTGCTTTGCACATAGCTTATAGAACACACCATTTACTCCTTTACAACCATATTTTCTATATATTTAAAATTTCAACATTTCCTACAGCGGTTCCAAGTCCTTCCCACCTCTCAGCTGTGAATAGAAGTGATAACCCTCCCACTAAGAAATGCAGACACAAGTGCCCCACCTCCCCAATCTGAAGACATGTAAACACTGTGAGAGAGAGGTGAAAGTTCCAGTCCCAGGAAGAGACTATTTAGGAATTGCATTTTCAGGATGGGATATTTTTTTTTTCTTTCTACTTTTTAAACTAAGGAAGATAGAATTACTGGTTTGTGGGACTAATTTTCTATATTTTGTTGAGGCAATTATATATATATTACATATATAATATATAATCATTTGTTTTTAATACACCATCTGAGTGTGGTTGATAAATCAGAAGGAGTTAAAAAGAAGGAAAAGGAAGCTCTGCAAAGCCCAGCCCTTACTGCTATGACTCAGCTCCTCACCTCCTGCCAGAACATGGCCAGGGCTGTATAACATTTGATAATAATATGCATGATATGCTCATTCTCAGCTTGCAAATGGAATTTCATGATCAGACTTGTTAGGTTTACAGCTCTTTGTCTTAGTTTTAATGATGCCATGGTCTAATTTTCTCTTCCACATTGCAAAGAAAAATACATTTTACAAAAAAACATTTTCATACCCTCCTTTCCTTTATTCCTCCCCCTTCCCTTCTCGCTCCCCTGGATGCATTTTTCCTTACACTTTAAAATTTGTCCCATCAGCCATCACATGCAGTATAGAAGAGACCTGGAAATGAGGCTCCATCATTTTCTCAAGTGCCATGTTATTATCATAACCTAAACAGTCCAGAATAAGAACTATGCTCTGAAAAACAACTAGGGTTCTGTCATTAGTAATATAGCCATTGAATGAGCCAAAACAATGCTGTCATCTGAAGAATGTTATCATAATTCTGTCATGCAGGGCTCTGACATTGTAAATGGAGGGATACTGTCTTCCTTTGTGAAAGGAAATGGAGAAAGGGGGAGCATTTTTCTTTTCTAGTGAGCTTCTGAGCTGGAACTGTGTGTTACAGCTCAAAGGCCCTTGGGAATTTCTGTTGAGCTCCCCACTCACTAGCTTTTTTGTTTGTTTGTTTTTACTGAATTTTTGTATATTTCATACAGAATATCTCAAACAATCTTAATCATTTTTATACCTACATCCCCACTGGATCTTCCCACTAGCATTTTATTATGATAATTATCAATATCCATCGTTGTCTCCAACCTGGATTTTTATTGACCCTCCTGATCAGTACGCCATCTTCAGTCCTGTCTCTTGCTTGACTGCTCTCAGCGTGACACCCTGGGTAATCCTTTCTCCCTCCCTGCCTTCCTTCCCTTCCTTCTTTTTTTTTTTTGAGACAGTGTTTCAGTGTGTTTTCATGGTTGGCCTAGAGCTCACTATGTAGATCACATGGGTCTTGAACTCAGGACCCTTCCACAAAGACTTTTCAGGGATCAGCAGAGCCCTGCCTAATTCCCTTCCTCTTCTGGCCTTACTTGCCCTGCCACCACCTGAGCCTGTGCTGCAGCCACACTGTACTGGTCTTGCTCTCGTTCGAACCTTGCCAGGTTTGTGCTGGCTGCTCCCCCTGCCTAGGATTCTCCATTACATCTGTATAACTCACTCCATCACTCCCTTCAGGTGTTACCTCCGTTACAGCCTTCCCTGACCAGTCTACATAAGATTGCAGTCCAGTGATACTTTCTCTGCTCTTTCTCTAATTAATTAACATATTACATATGTTACTTATTAGGTTTACTGTTAATTTCTCTTTCCTTCCTTGAGGTCATGACCTGGAATAGTGTTCATATACTGTTTGTGCTCAGTATGGTATTTCTTAGAGGACAAGATAAATTTTCACATCGTGTGTTATTTTCATGGCTGTGGG